TGCACCCAGCAACAGCTTTGCGACGCTGCAAGGAAGGCAAGAGCCAATCTCGAATCGCCTGCATTCGATTCATTTCAAGGTAGACATGTGGCCTCCAAGCCGCCTAGCAGTCCGCAACATTCAGATTATCGCCTCGCTGATTCCATCTTTGCGGTATGTGGTTGTACAGGAGCTGGCCTCGGAGGAGTGGCAGGAACTGTTCAAAGAGGTCACCACAGAGCCTACCTTTGCTCCCCGCACTGCTCACCTTCGCTCACTCACGTACCTAGACGGGCTGTATCGTGAAGCTAAGCGCCTCCCCATGTAGCAACTGCTAGCACAGTTGTCTGGTGCCTGTTTTGCTGTTTTCTCACAAAGAAATAAAAAGAACTGAAGCGCCTTTGTGTGGCTTTTTTTGGATCAATCCTCTGTATTTTTAGAACAGCCGAAAATGAGAGGAAAACGACGTGTCCTAATGCCATGCGAGGAAGAGCCGTGGAGGACAATCGCATTGGATTTCTGTTTCTGGCACTGGTGAGGTCAAAGCCTGGCATTTAAAATGCCCTCTTCGCCCCCTGCTTGCAACCCGGCCTGCCATCCGTTGCTTTCTTCTTTTTTTACTCGCTTCACCTATACACATATCGCCGTTTTTCTCTACTTTGTTATTTTGTGACCATGGCACAGGCATCGCTCGCTCAAACCCTGCCAGAGGACATCATCGAGGACATCATTTTCTACGCCACGAACTTGAGAAAGCTCCGTAGAACCCAAGCGGCAGAGTGGCACCCCGAGCTATGCCAAGAGCTTATGCCGCTGCTTGGCGTTTGTCGTCATTGGCGCTCAGTGGCGCTGCCGGTTTTCTACTTGGACCTGTTTTTGACAACCAACGACGACGTGACCGCTATTGATAGGCCGCTTCGCTTTTTCCATGGGCTCACCGACGTCATCACCAACGGTGCAGAGCACTTTATCAGGTGTGCTCGAATCCAGGTCCCAATGGCGAGCATTCTTGAAGGCAAGGTTGTAGATCTTCTCTCCGCGGCTCCGTACACTGACGCAGTGTTTCCGTCGGCCGTCCACCTGACTTTTGGTGTCTTTGGTGGCGGTGACCCTGAGGGCGAAGTGCCGATGTTCAAGGAAAATGCTGCAAAGTTTTGCGAGCGAATCCTACGGCTTTTCCCCAACGTAGAATCGCTAAACTTCGATGTGAGGGCAATGAGATACACAGCGCACGACGAAATCATGGGTGACATTGTTACTGGCTTGACAAAGGCGCGGCGTCTAGGTGCGTTTGACTACTCGGGCGTCCAGAGCTATTTGCACGTTCCAGAACTCACGCACCTCGCAACCCTTTCACGCATCAGCCTGTTTGTTGAGCGCGCTGATGGAGACATCATTGAGCTGGTGCACCGCAACGCCCCGACTTTGGAGTATATCGAAATCAGATGTGTGCAGCTTGGCGCCTTTGTCAGTCTCATTCAGGACTCCAACGGCAACACTGTCACCTATCCATGCCTCAAGACTCTGTATGCATATGCGATGGACTACAGCTCCACAAACATTCGCGAATCGCCGGAGGGAACGCCATTCCCCGCCCTCAAGCACCTCACTTGTGCTGGCGAGTATCCGTTCAATAACGACATCCTGTTCAGGGGCAACAGCGCTACGCTGGAGAGCCTTGAGCTTACCATCACGCCTGCCCTGCTCCAGGCCGCTCAACGCTACAACGTGTTTGAAAAAGGCCGGTACCCAAGACTGCATCGCGTGGCGCTGGAGAGCTGGAGTGGGTTCGCCATGGATGATGAGCTGGCGCTTAGTGTGGCACGGATTCCCTTTGAGGTGGGACCCAACGTTCAGGTGATCAAGGTGAACCTTAGAGGGGACAAGCGCGAAAACGTCATTCTGGATGCCATCCGCCTCACACCCGAAAACAGCCAGATTCGCTTCCTAAACATCCAAGATTTCAGGCTTACCGTGTTCGAGGTCGTCGAGGTAATCAAGATACTCCCCAACCTGCGGGACCTAAAGTTTTGGATGACCGAGGAAGAAACCGCGGAGCAGGATAGCCTTTCCTTGGATGCTCTTGCACAGCTGCACACGGAAAACCATCCTGTTTCGACTCGCTTGCGGTCATTGCAGTTTGAGTCCAGGGCAAACGAACTCGCACGCCAAACTGCTGCCAACCTCCTGACTGTTGCATCGCTGGCACCGTCGCTGCAATACATTTCTATGTTTGGGCTGCTATTTGACGACTGCAAGGCGTTCTTCAAGGATGTGGTCGCTGATCCAGCATTTGACAAGTATGCTGAGCACCTGCGCTCTATCAAATATCTTTCTGGATTGTACCGTGGTGCCGAGACTATCCCCCTTTTCTAAACCACAGCTACTTGTTAAAACATGAGCTCAAATAAAAATTGTATTTGTGGAAATTGACTTTTGGTATGGTGTGGTTCTTAATTATCTGTCCCTATCGGAATGTGGGCTACATTTATGAGCGAGTATCATTGCTAATTTGGACAGACAGACCCAGACAGCCCAGTTTCGACAGCCACGTAAAATAACCACCCCAAGTTTATCTACGCAAATACACTGCTGGATCCATTAGCATAAAAAGGCATACAAACGCACGGCAAGGACTACACGTGGTCAGCATCTTTGATTTTGAAGGACCGCTGTTGTTTACTGCAGAAAAGCACGCCAGAATGAGAAGGCAGCTGCTGCCAGATGGACACAAGGAGCCATACAAAGATTGGCTATATGGATGAAAATCAAGGGCTGTCGCGCCGTGATCCATGTTTCTGAGGAACTGCGGGTTGCGAACTGAGGAGCCGTTTGGCCTATCTACCGATATCGTCCAATCGACTACTTGTCGTGCCTTGGAAGGTTCTACTTTACCCCAGTCTATCTCGCTCCACCTATCCTATGCTCGCGCTATGATAGGACCGAGATAAGACTTACTGTTGCGCGTTCAACGCGGACTATAAAATTCTGCTCCTGGGCACTAGCGGCCAAGGAACAGGGATCTCTTTTTTAGTGAAGATTTTTCTTTTAGCATATATAGAGGTTAAAACCCATTTGCGCTTGCTGAGCAGTGAAGATTGGTATTGATCACGTTAGATAGACTGCGAGGACGTTGTAGAGCACGAAGCTACTGCAAGTATCGCGTAACGTTGAGAACAGGTTTCATCTTCGGTTTAGCCATTAGTATAGAAAGACAGACCTCTGTCGCCCAAGTAAAACTTATTGCTCCCGTTTAGCGTCCGTTAGCGCTATCCGTCCGATACCCAAATTCCTTGCTGCCAGAAACATCCGGGATGGCAG